AGAGACAGAGAGAGAGCCGTGTACGACTACCAGTATTCGACACTAACATATAGTAAGCTCCGCTTACACTATCTCTGTAACCTGTTGTTAATATATCTTTCTTACATCTAATCTGTGTTCCGTGTTTTCCTTCTGTGCTCCCGACTTTGGCCCCACATCAGTGGCGACGAGGATTCGAGAAACTCACTCACGGCGAAATCTCAATACCTTACCAGTCACACATCTGTTTCGTCGAAGAATTCGAGAATTTCGTTCTCACCATATCAATAGCGACAGCGAAAAACACAGAAGACGCGTTCCCACAGCAGTGTTGAACGAGAAATTAAGCTGGTATTAATACATTAGCGAAAATAAACACCCAGCGTCTACATATATTCCGATACCAAACATCAGTGACAAACTAGCGATTCGACATCTACGGAATATTAAAGTCTGTCCAAATAACAAGAACGAATTCTTACACACCCACACACAGAAAAAAAACAGTTGTTCATAAAACAAACTGGCAATACAAGAGCGGAAGTACTACCATTGTACTCAAGTTTTCGAAAAAAACTATCTAAATTTTTTTTTTTATGTAACTGAGTTGAACTCTTGCATAAGATTATTCTCCTCTCAAATTCGCTGAGGTGAGTTTTCGCTTTTTGTACCTCTATAAAAAATATATATATATATATAAGTGTGGTGAAAATTTATACAATTACGTTAAAATTAACGAAACCACGGAATCTCAAAAAAGCTAAACACATAATTAGTTTAGTTTAACCAATTGTCTGTCCATATTTTTTTTGTGTTAAAGAAAAAAAAACTATCAAGTACACGGGTTTCAAAGCAACAAAAAATCGCTGTCATTTTTGTTTGTCTAAATATGGAAGATTTTCAAAAAGTAATCGTCCAAATGCTAAAAGCAAATTTGGATCACCAACAAAAATCAGAAAAAAGACAACAACAACTATTTTTGGAATTACATAAACAACAAATGGAATTCCAACAAATTACGCTTCAGAATGCTGAACTACAACAGAAACAACATAAAGAATTACTCGTAAATGCATTAAAAGGCTCAAACTCTGAAAAAGACACAATATTCTCCCAGAGTACAATCTACAATTCAATGGAAACCTTTGAATACGTACCAGAGAACGACAAAACGTTCGACGCTTTTTAAGACGCTACGAAGATATTTTCAACGTAGACTGTGAACAATGGTCCAGTAAAAAAAAAGGTACGTCTACTATTGAGAAAACTGGGAACTACAGAACATAGTAGGTTCGTAGACTTCATACTACCTAAGAAAAGCACTGACTTGGATTTTTCAGAGACTATTAAGCTCCTATCGGAACTATTCGGGTCTAACACAACCTTGTCCCACAAACGTTGGAAATGTCTGAACACAGTCAAAGACAACCAGCAAGATTTTCTAACGTTTGCAGCATCGGTAAACAAGTTCTGTAATGATTTTAAACTAGCCGAACTGACTGCCGATGATTTCAAGTGCTTGATTTTCGCACAAGGTCTAGTATCAGCAGAAGATGCCGAAGTCATACGACGGGTACTGACCAAGCTTGAGAACGAACAAGGATTGACTCTCCAAAAACTGGCAGAGGACTGTCAAAGAGTAATATCTGTAAAGTGTTACTTAAACACTATCGAGGAATCAGGTGTGGCTCAGATTAATAAAATCAGAAGCAAGTCTACCTCCTATTCCCCTCAAAAAGACAAAAGGCAAATCTCATGTCCTAAATTCCGCAGTAACCAAAACCCAAATAGGTTAAAGAAACCGCCCGGACCATGTTACCATTGTGGTAAATGGCATTGGATGAAATTCTGTCCAGTTAAGAACAAAAAATATTGCAAAAATTGCAATAAAAGTGGGCATACTTTAACTCCGTACTGGTTCGCCAACAGAACGAGAAAACACAAAAATAAAATTAGGCAAGCTCAATCTGACAATATTGTCGATAGGAATTTAAGGAAATATGTAACTGTGGATATTTCAAGTCCATTAAATTCCAGCTTGACTCGGGTTCCGATCTTTCAACCATTAACTGGCGTACTTGGCGAAAATTAAACAAGCCGATCTTATTAAAAACGGATAAAACAGCAAAATCCGCGAAAAGATTAACATTTTAGGCGAGGTAATACTTACAGTAACACTAAATGGAGTTACCAAAAAGCTCAAAGCCTACGTATTGAAAACTTCAGATAACTTATTTAGAACAGATTGGATAGAAAAATTCAATCTTTTGGGATTGCCCAATGAGTACATTTTGTCGCAAGATACAAAGTACAACGTCCAATTTGATAAATCTAAAAAGGAACTCAAACAACAATTTCCCCAGGTTTTTTTTTTCTGGCGGCCTTGGGAAATGTACTAAAATGAAAGCTAAGTTCAAGGTCAAGGACGGTGCACAACCGGTATTCAAAAAGAAACGGAATGTCCCTTTCGCTGCTCTAGAGCAAATCAACAAAGAGTTAGATAGACTCGAACAAGCAGGTATTCTGTCAAAAACAGATTTCAGCGAGTGGGCAGCACCTACGGTCTACGTAAAAAAGAAGTCCAATCAAATACGAGCCAACGCGATCAGAAACATGCCGGCCCCAGATAACGTTCAAGCGTTACAAAGCTTCCGCGGCCTAGCTAACTTTTACCAAGGGTTCATTAAGAAAAATTTGAGAGGGCCTCTCAACCAACTTTTAAAAAAGGACAAACCATGGTCATGGACCCCGGAATGCCAAGACGCATTCGAGAAAATCAAGAAAACTCTTACTTCAGACCTCTCCCTCACCCATTACGACCCTAGTCTCGACATCATAGTCGCAAGTGATGCAAGCTCGTACGGCATGGGTGCTTGCATTTTACATAAACTGCCAGATGGTTCGCGAAAAGCTGTGGCTCACGCATCAAGATCTCTAGTTCGATCTCGACATGCCCCAAGTCTCTCCTGAAGTGCGACGCTCAGGAAGGAAAAGGAAATTTACTCAACCGCTCGACGTAAATCCCAAGAGGAAAAAGTATTAACAGTTTTATTTTTTTCTCTCCTTTTCAAAAATAAAACTCTTGGAAGGGGGGTTTTGTGAGACCGGAAATACCTACGCAATAGACTCTTCCAGGTCTATATTAAGTATGCGACACAACACTCTAGAGAGAGACAGAGAGACAGTGAGAGCCGCGTACGACTACCAGTATTGGACACTAACATATAGTAAGCTCCGCTTACACTATCTCTGTAACCTGTTGTTAATATATCTTTCTTACATCTAATCCGTGTTCCGTGTTTTCCTTCTGTGCTCCCGACTTTGGCCCCACATCACTTCTATACTTACGAAAATGGGAATGTTTCTACAGTAAAATAAAGATTATAAAATATTTTTAAAATCTTGGTGCAATACTACTTTCATTAAGCTTTTCAATAACACATGACCGGATTTAAACGATTTAAATTATTATAATTAATTTTTTTTTTTAAAATGTAATCAATTATTGCGAAAATTCTTTAGTGATGGAAATTTTTTTCTTAAGAAAATAGTGTCCTTAATAAATCTTATTTATAAAAGCAATTAAAAGGTTTTCTAATTAAATTATGTTATAATTTTATTGCATTATTTATTTCACGATTCGGAGCAGATTTTCGGGAAATGTGCAGTCGTTTGAGAAAAAAATGATTGATTTACATTCTCCAAGGAATCCTGCTTTTAACTAATAAAAATAATTTTGAGACAGAAATTTAATTTCTCGAAATTTCATGCAAGTAAGGAAATTTCATGTAAGTATGTGGTAACATGTATAGAAAAATATCTTTACCATGATTATCTAAAACAAAATTTCAAAAATAATTTAATTCATTTGTAAATTCTGAAAGTTTCATTAAAATCCGACTTTTCACCTGAAAGAAAGGCGCTAAAACACTAATCGAAAATATTACATCGACTGCTGACAAAAAAAAACAAGATATTTAACCAAAATTTCGAACGTGCTAGAATTTTTACATGATGTTTTTTCAACAACAAAGTGTAGGTGCCTATACAAATCGTCTAATAATTTCAAATTCGTATAACAATAGTAAATATCTCCTTTTAGCATTTTAAAGAAACTGATTCATTAATATTAAATTGTTTTTTTAATTTATTATTGAATTAAATGTGTGAGTTTTGCAAATGATTCAATAGTTACTGAGAAAATTTTCTCACGATAAGCGCATTTAAATCTTTTTGATAGAAGCTTCCTCGCGAAAACCTTGATTTGATTTATTCAAATTATTGTTCTCATCTTGATTATTATAGATAATATTATAGACACTATATTTCGGCCAAGTGTTCTCTGTTGGACCTTTTCACGTGTCCATTACTATGGCTGATTATCATCATATATTTTGATCCTGTGATGCTGTTTCTAGCTTACTCCTGCTCAACTCGAGTATATAGATTTCACTACCTTATCCAGAGATTGAAATCACGACGGCTATATGACAGCAACACTTGGTTCGCCAACACCTATGTCCACTACAAGGCCAAGGAGTAAACCCTACACAAATACGGAGTGGAGCCCCTAAGGCGGATGGACGGCACTCTGTGCTACCTTCTGGCAACTCCTGCAGCCGCGCTGGTACCAAACCGTATTGGTTTATCCTCTCCTTTGGACTCTGCTAGCAAGGCCGAGGTGGGGAACGAGACGTCCGGGCAGCCCTAGTTCTCCATATATCTCGCCCAGGATCGTAGCGCACTGGAGAGGACACTCCAGCGACGTCGCAACACGGGAAGTGACAGTTACCGGTTAAAAGCTCAATCCGATTGGCGTGGGCTGCGGGTACCTGGGGTCACCTCCGTCGGTGGGAGAGATCATCGTGTCTCACTGGACAGCTACCGCCCGACTCAAGCTGGGCAGCTCTACTGGGTGTGTAGATCCTCCTGTCAAGAAAGCTGTAAATCCCGCACCAGGCAGGAAAGAAAGAAACACGAAGACTCCAGATCCTTGGTTTGCTAGTTGGAACGTCCGGACTATGCGCCCTATTCTCGCAGATGACATCCAACAGATCGACGATGCTCGAAAGAACGCGGTCATAGACAGGGAGCTCTCAAAGCTGGGCATTGACATCGCCTTCCTGCAAGAGACTCGTCTGGCTGAAGCGGTTCCATCAGAGAGGCCAACAACACCTTCTTCTGGCAGGGCCTGCCTCAGGATGACCCAAGGCAACACGGCATAGGCTTCGCCGTGAAGAACTCGCTGATACCAGCCATTGTACCACCAACTGGCAGATCTGAGAGAATCCTAGCACTGCACCTCTTAACATCTACGAGTTTCGCCAATGTCCTCTGCATCTACGCGCCAACGCTCTGCGCGACCTCAGAGGTCAGGGACCATTTTTATGAGGCAATCGATGAGATATCCAGTTACCCCAATACTGAAGGATTATACCTATTGGGAGACATTAGTGTCAGAGTGGAGGCCGACTGTGACACTTGGCCATCTTGCCTCGACCGTCAGGGCATAAGCAAGATGAATGAGAATCGTCAGCGGCTGTGCGTGACGAACACCTACTTCAAGTTCAAAGAACGCCACAAAGTCTCTTGGAGACACCCCCGTTCTCGACACTGGCACCAGCTCGACCTTGTCATCACCAGGCGTGCAGACCTAAGGAGCGTTCTTCACACTCGGAGCTTCCACAGTGCAGACTGCGACACGGACCACTCCTTAGTAGGCTGCAAAGTGAGACTGACAGCCAAGGAAATACACCGTTCCAAAACCAAGGGCCTCTCTCGCATCGACACTTGTCGCTCCAATGACCCTGAGAGCTCTCGCCGCTTCCAAACCACCTTTAGTCCGAAGGTCGACACATCCTCCTTCAGTGCCACTGACATCGACAGTAGATGGCACCACCTCCGTGATGTCATATACACCTCAGCCCTTACTGCGTTCGGGAAGAAGGATCGTCAAAATGCGGACTGGTACGAAGCTCACGGGGATGAGATGCAGCCGGCCTCTGAAGCTAAGAGACAAGCACTCCTAGCCTACAAGCATAACCCTTGCGTCAATACTCGCGATGTCCTCAGAGCTGCTCGCAGCAGGGTCCAACAGACTGCACGCTGCTACTACAACGACTACTACCGGCATCAAAACCGCCACCGGCCCCACTCCCATCAAGGCGGCTCCGCTGAGGTCCGGGGCGAGGGGGAGGTCATTACGGACCGGGGCAAGCAGCTGGAGCGCTGGGTGGAGCACTACCTGGAGCTGTATGCAACCCGGAACATGGTGACGGATGCCGCTCTGGATGCCTTGCCCAGTCTCCCAGTCATGGAGGAGTTGGATGCCCCGCCCTCTGCGGAGGAACTCGGAAAAGCCATCGACTGTCTTTCCTGCGGTAGGGCCCCCGAGAGGGACGGGATCCCATCGGAGGTTCTGAAGAGTGGCAAGCCGGCTCTGCTAGAGCATCTCCACAAGCTCCTGTGCCTGTGCTGGGAGAAGGGCTACGTTCCCCGGAACATGCGAGAATCCAACATTTGTCACCCTCTATAAGAATAAAGGTGACCGCAGCAACTGCAATGACTACCGCGGCATTTCACCTCCGCTGCCTCAGACGTCTCCTGCACATTAAGTGGCAAAACTGTGTCACTAACACAGAGGCCCTTCAACGTCAGTGGCGTAGCTAAGGTGGGGCGAAGGGGGCTGGTACCAGCACAGGAGAGGTGACACAATGTCAACCCCAACAAAATTTTTCATCCAGGCTAAAGTGCCAAAAATAGTCTGAAAACAGTGGTGGAGACACAGGGTTTTGCAGGCGGGCATATGACCCCCCAGAAATAATTTATGACCCCCCCAGTTTTGTCCCCCCGTCAGAAATTTTCTAATAAATTGTCGGGAAATTTGTGAGTAGGAAAAATAGCAATGTTTTCAGCTGTCATGTGTTTCAGTTGCTACAATGTTTGTTACTAACAAGAGACATTGCTGTAACATTTTATCGGATGATATGGTGTTTTAATTCTGCATCATTAATAACAACAAAGCGAAATTCGAAGCCAAAAGTGCAACAATTTCAGTCTTGCCTGTGTATCAATTCGCTGAGATACAATTTTCCATTGAGTGAGCGATATACTTTTGAATATATCTACTAGTGTTGGGACGATTAATCGGAATCTGAATCGAGAATCGGAAAAATCGGAACTTTTTGGGGTATCGGAAACGGTATCGGAATCGGAAAAATTCGTGCCTATTTTCCGATTCCAAAAACGATTCTTTTAAATTTTTAACTTATTTTTCCATTATTGGTACTAATGATAAATATTTATTGTTTTTAAATTATCACTAAAACTAAAATCATAATAACATCAAAATACGATGTAAATTTATTTTACTTGTATAAAGAAAAACAAAAAAGAAATAAACATTGCATAAATTCTCTAGGTAACCTTTAAAAGAATGCAGTTGATTTACAATGTTCCGAAAAAATGCTTAAAAATTAAATAGAACATTTTTGTCAAGAAAAATACTTTCAAACATTATTGATAATTAAATGGTACCCAGAAAATGATGCAACGGAAAATTGGACACCGGAAAATTAGCAACAGAAAATTACGCCAAGACTGTCGGATTTGGCTGTGCTGTCCATTGAGAACGAGCTTACAAGACAAACAGATTTTGACGATGTCATTGACCAGTTTGCCACAATGAAAACAAGAAAACATTCATTCTAAGACCATAGTATCGAATGCCATTCTTTTGTGTATTGCCGTATTTTGTAGTTAGTTGTTCTGAAAGTGAACAGTTGCATTTTAAAAATTTTTTGATTTGAACTGATTATTTTGTGGTATTGGATTTTGTCTTGGATCATACATGTAAACAGTAACGTACCGGTCAGTAGAGTAAAGTAGAGGTAGAGCATGTATGAAAATTTAGCTACTGCTAACCATTCAGCATAGGGTGAATCGGGGTCATTGGGGTGACATTTGAGCGGACCGCCCCAGGTGACGTTTACTCTAGCTGCGCCACTGTTCAACGTACCGGCATCCCCAGCCTGTTCACGCTACTCTGCCAAAGACGTCTCAGATGGCTGGGGCACATACGCCGTATGCTGCATCCCAAGAGTCATCCTGTACAGAGAGCAGTGTGGGGGGTTCCGCCCAAGTGGAAGACCTGAGTTCCGTTTCAAGAATGCCTGCAAACGAGACATGACGCTGGCCGAAATCGACCCCAACATCTTGCAGAAGCCGCGAGGGAAGATCAGCAGGCAGCAAAGAGAGCCAGGAGAAAAGCAAGGACAGCCCCCGTGTCATCCAGTTTCATCTACGCCAAGTGCCTGAGAGACTGTCGCTCCAGAGTGGGACTACACAATCACCAGAAACGATGTAACTCCATCACCTAGAATTTTTTGGAAAAAAAAAGAATAACCGCTATTCCATCGTCTCCTGAGACGGACAGATGCCGACGACGATGTCCACTACTTCCAAAAACATCAGTGGTGTGTTTTTAGAGCTTTAAACTCAATGTCAAATGGTTTTGACATTTTCGTTATCACGTTGATTTGAAGATCAAATGTAGATCAAATATGGATCAGAATCCGACAGGATAAGATAAAGAACAAATAAGAAACGTATATCAATCTAACATGTTTCATTTTTATTAAAACTTCCTCAGAGATTGAGAAAAAACAGACAAAAAGACAGAAAACTCTAGTATCTTACTTATTATAAAACGCAGGTGTGTGTGTGTGTGTGTGTGTCTGTAACGTTTATATGTTGGATCGAATTTCCTACATTTTTAGCCGATTTTCAACAAAACTTCACAGAACTACATAAAATTACCTTGTGGTGGTTCTAACGGGGCCGAAAATGGAAAAAAATACAATTGTTTTTAATAAAATCAATTTGAAAACACGATTAAGACACATCGTGAGAATGAAAGGGGACAACTCACCCACGAAAATGTAAACAAAAGAGCATAGCATGATGAAAAAGACGCCGAACTTGACGAAAACAAAATTTTATCGTCTAATATTTAAGTGAACAAATTATTTACCTTGTTACTTTTAAGGAAAACTTTCAGCGCTCTAATTTTTAATTTTTTTTTTATTTATTTTTTTTTTGTACTTAGCTTTCATTTTTACGTTTACGATGCTTTATGGAAAATATAAAGAAATTAAAAAATAAGACTATTAATAGTGAGATTAAATTTCATAAGAAAAAGGTATCTAATTAATTTAGGTACCTTTCTTATGAAATTTTATCAGAAGTGTACATAAAATACTATAATTTTATGTACATTTATTACATTTTACTGTGTTATATGTATTTCCATTCATTTTATTATTAATTTTGATATTTCATTTATGGAAAATGTCATAACTGAGATTAATATAAAAATAAGATCATATAAATTAAAGTTTAGCAGTAGTTAAATTTCATAAGATGATACTGTTACTTGTAGGTACCCTTCTCAGTTGAAATTGAAAACTCAAATTAACTTCTCCATACGTGTTTCGCAAAAGTAAAGGGCTTAAAAGCGGAGAACAATGCTGAACTCAAATAATGCAACTAAATTGTATTCTGGTTGGTCTTCCGTACTTGATAATTACTGTCCGACTATAAACACAAAAATTACATTTCTTAATTACCATGGCTAATCTGATTGGTCCAAATTATACAATTTTCAAAGCGCTAGACAATGACAATCTCACACGAACATTTTGAAAGGTTGATGTTGCTTTTAACTAATGTTAAAATATTTTTAAAATTCAATTTAAACATTTTTTAAAATCTTTTCAAAATTAAAGAAATAAGAAATAATTGTATTAAAAAATTCAATTTTCATTGAAAAATTTTTGCTTTCAGAAAATATTGTCCATATTCATAAAAAACAAATTAAAACAAATAAAAGCATTTGAAACTAAATAATATATTTGTTTTATTGAGTTTTGTATTTTACAATTCACAGCTGATTTTCAGGTACGTTGGCCAAAAAAAAAAAAAAAAAAAAAAAACATGATTTGCATTCTTCAAAGCCTTGTGCTTTTAACTATTGTAATCACTAAAACCGATGGTCTCTAATTTCTAGAGTTTTTCATAAAATTAGTTATGGGGGTGTTAATAAATATAAAAAAAAATATTTCTGCCATGACTTTAATAAAAAAAAAAAATATTTATAATAATTTGGATCATCTGTGAATAGTTTCTGAAAGTTTCATTAACATCTGACAATTTTATTTTTGCAAGATTTTCCAAATTAATGTGTGTAAATACAAAAAAATGCGCTAAAAATTATCTATGATATTTACTACCCCTTGTTGCGACAAAGAGAAACAAGGTTTTTTAAATCAAAATTTAGAATATTCTAAAAAGATGGAAAAAATTTTTAAAAATAATTAAAAAAAATTTAGTCTATCCTCTTCATAAAAAAAAATAAGCATTTTGACGATAAAATTTTGTTTTCATAAACTTTGGCGTCTTTTTTTCATCAGACTATGCTCTATGTTTTAGCGATTCCGTGGAGTGACTTAGGTTAAAAAACCCAGGTTGTTTTGTTGTGTGTGTGTGTGTGTGTGTGTGTGTTCCTTTATATATGGGATCGGATTTCTTACATTTTTCAGCCAATAAAACAAACATCCACTTTTTTTTTCGGCAGGTAGTATTTCTTATTGTCTTGCACACTTTTTTCTTTATTTACATTCAGAATGCTTGAAAAATTCCATTTACAAGACAATTGTTTATAATAAAATTCTATTCACCAATCCATAGACTCATAACGATTGTAAACAATGTTTTTGTTTGAATTTGGGTTTGACCAATTCAAAAAAAAAAAAAAAAAAAAACTAATTGCGACATGCGTGTCCGTCAACCTTAAACAATAATCTTTGTCAATTTTATTTTTCAGTCTTTATGATGGTCGATACTTGATCTATCTCTTACTGTTACATCCCCAGGCAACGCCGGACTCTACTGCTAGTTTTCAATATTGCTTGGGTCAGTTGTCATTGGTCAGACACGTGTCACGTGTATTAACACCGCGGATAATTCTCTCTCTATATATATATATATATATCTGTAGGTTTGTGAAGAATGTTGTATGTTTAAGTGGGCAGCGAATGGTAATGTGCATTTGTAATTATGTGCGTTTGTCTGTCTAGTAGGCGTTTTTATCATACCATAAAAGCGAGCCATAAAATCAGACCCCTGCGACCTCCCGTTGCGAGTCTTGGTCACACACACACACACACACACACACACACACACACACACACACACACACACACACACACACACACACACACACGTATGCACATACACACACGCGCACATGTTTATAAACTCTCTCACTAAGTCTGTTTACAACTATTTCATTCTGTCCCTATCGATTTATGTATCTGTTACATTCTCTTCTTATTTATTAATCTAATCTGGTTCCTTCACATTGTTGTCTGTCCATCCATCTCCCCATATACATATACATATATATATGCGAAATCCTCATTCTCAAATTTCTTGTATCAAATGTCATGGAAATTAAGATCACTGCCCAAACAAAAT